GTTCTTCCTACATCCTCATAAGGAATGGCTACAGCACGGGCAACACTGATCTTCCTTGTAACTTTCTACAGTGCAAATGAGTGGCACTGATTCATTCAACAGCCCTGTGTTGGTAGGTATGATGTGCCAGGCAGTATGGGGTTCTAGATACACTACAGTCACCAATATGCTGTCCTATCCTAAGGGTTGAAATGTAGTGAAAGAGAGACCAGAAGACAGACAGACAGACAGACACACACACACATGCACACACACACTTTTAAATAGCCTCATCCGGCTCACTGATGCTGTCTTGAGTAGTGTAGGATTATTTCCTGCCGACCTCTGAGCTCCAGTCCACCACCCAATAAGCCATGCCACTTTCCTTCAGCACCCCAAAGCATCAAGCCTCACCAGCTTCAGGGTCACTGCCCAACACAGGACACACTTTCCTGCCTCTTTCACCCTGCAAATCCACCTTTCAGATCTTAGCACAAGTCAAGTTGCAACTTTTTCTTTCAACTCCCTAGGTCCCTCCAGCACTGATCATGTCAGAATATTTATAACAACCTATCAATTTTCCCCTAGAATGCAGGCTCCCATGAGACTCACAAACTCCACAAGGCAGAGACCACACTCTGCCCTCAGCTTGGCCTGCTCTTTTCAGAGCTCCAACAGTAGGTTGACTAGTCAGAGTCTGTGATCCTTTGTTCTGTGGGCTAAGATAGGCCCATGGGAGATGAGATGATGAGATGAGAGATGAGATGAGATGAGATGAGATGAGATGAGATGAGATGAGATGATGAGATGAGATATGGGATAGGATGGGATGGGATGAGGTGGGATGGGATGGGATGGGATGGGATAGGATGGGATGGGATGGGATGAGACAGGCTGAGGAGAGGACACGACATGACATGGGATGAGATGACATGAAATGAGATGACATGAATGAAAGAGAGTCCAGTCATCAAAAACTACACCTCTTGGGGCAAGGAAGATAACTCACTGGGTAAAGTACATGTCACACAAACATGAGGACCTGAGTTCAGATCCCTAGAAACCACATAAAAGCCAGGCACAGCAATGTGAGATGATAATCCCAGCCCTGAGGAAATGGGCAGATCCCTGGGGCTCCCTAAGAAGACTGTCTAGCCTCGCTGGCAAGGACCAGGTTCAATGAGAGAGAATAAGGATGACAGTGTCAACCTTTATCTCTACACATGGGAAAACACATGCAGGTGCTCCTGAAGAGGCATATCAACTCATTCACACACATGCACATGTGTACACACACACACTCTCTCACACACACACACACACACACACACACACACACACTCACACATCCTGTCTTCCTTGGGAAATGTGTGTCTGAGGCTGTACGCTGGCCAAGATGTCAGGCCATAGGCTGTTATGTCCCCTGGGATGGTAAGGTTGCCTACTGAGCTCACACAGATGGAGAGCAGAACTCTGGGTCAGGCCACACATCTCCCTCATAAACTTCATCTGCACATCGAAGTCTGGAGAAGGATCAGGGTCACTGTATGAGTGAGGGAAGGCACACACAAAGTCACTCAATATCCTCCAGAGCACAGAATTCTCTCTAAGAAGCCTTCAAAAGGGCTGGAGAGCTGGCTCAGCTGTTAAGAGCACTGGCTGCTCTTGCAGAGGACCAGGTTCAGTTCCCAGCACCCACATGGAGGCTAATAACCATCCGTAACTCCAGTTCCAGGGGATCGATGCCCTCTTCTGACCTCTTCAGGCAATGTACAACATGTGCGCACTTACAAACATGCAGGCAATACATTTATACAATAAAATAAAAATAATAAAATATTTTTAAAAGAAGCCTCCAAATGCCACACAGCAGGCCTAGCTCTACCCTGCACATACAAGGCAGGGCTTACTTGTTCTTGGTACAAAACAAGGGGCCACACTGTAGGAAGGCTCAGTGGTAATTGGCTTGGTCCTGTGTTCCATCCCCATCATCACACATGAGACAAAACAGCTGACTTTACACAGACAATAGGCACTGGGATTGACCACGAGGTGCTTTGGTTGAAATGTGACCCCAAGATTCATGTACTAGAAACAAAGTACTCACATACTCAAGTGTGGGTGATTTCAGGACATGGGACTTTGGGAGATAATGGGGATTAGGCAGTCGTGAGGGTGAGTCCCATGGTGGCATTAGTGACTTTATTAGAAGAGAAACAGGGACTTGCTTTGTCTCATGGTGTGATGATCTCTGCAGCAGGATTGACTCATCAGGTACCAATGCCATGCTCATATCATCCAGCCTCCCGCAGATGAGCCAAACAGACCAATGTTCTTGAAAATGTGTACGTGTGTGTGTGTGTGTGTGTGTGTGTTGTTTCTGTGTATGTGTGCTTGTGTGCCTGTGTGTGCAGAGGCCAGAAGACAACCTCACCTATCGGTCCTCCATCTAACATTTTTTTGAGACAGTTTGTCAGTGGCCTGAGGTTCACAGAGTAGGCTAGGCTGGCTGGTCATCAACGCTTAGTATCCACCTGTCATCTCCCCATTGCTGGGAAGTGCCTGGCACACCTGGCTTTTTCGCATGGGTTCTGATTCAGTTTCGCAAAGCAAGTACCTTATGGACTGAGCTCTCTCCAGCCCCCAGACTTCTGTTCATTATAAATTACCCAGTCTGTGGTAGGAGGAGAGAACAGACAATGCCAAGAAGTCCTGTTAGACAGAAAGGTGATCTAAGTGCCTTGGCTAAGACCCAAGTGATAAGAATCCTCATTACTCCAAACCACAAAAGATGACAGGCTGAGGCATTCATTGGTGAATAGGTTCCCAAAGCAAATTAGAAGCTTCTCTGGGTGCAGGGCTACAAAAGTACTGTGGGTCTCAGTACTGAACTCAGAGAAAACAGAGGTAAAGTAGCTGTTCTGATAGTAGGCACTAGAGACTGAATGTCCGTGTCCCTCCCACATTGTACAGCAGCCCCAGCCACTGTCACTTCAGCACTGTACCAAAGTCCATCCCCTTCAAAACTACAGAAACCCCGAGTCCCAGTGTGGTGACACTTGCAGGAAGGACTATGCAAGATACAAATGTTTATGTGAGATCATTAGCGTGAGCCCAGAGGAGGACACAATCAGAAGGTACCCTCTGCAAAGTGGGAAAAGCACCATCACCAGGAACCAAGCATGCCAGCACATGGACCTTGGCCTCACAGCTTTCAGAGCCATGAGAAAATGAACACCTGCTGTTGCACCTGCCCTGCCTGTGGGCTTCTGGCATGGCAGCCAATATGAGTGAGACTACCTATAAATACATGGTGAGACTGGGTGAACTAGGAAAGGTATCACTCCTCCAACCCTCCCATGGGATACCTACCTCTAAGGATGTTTGAAAAACCCATATGGAAACCTATTTTATTATATAACATATACCATATACAGTTCACATAAAAGAGCTTGCCTAGAGTTACTCTACATGGGATTGGGATTGTGCTAATTGCAAAAGTCATACATTGCATGCCCCCCCCCAAAAGCCCAGTGCTAAGTGTGAGACACCTCCTCTTGAATTGTTGGGCAGAGATGTTCCAGCGATCCCCAAAACAATATAAGCTATTGACATTGCTCTTGGTTGCCCACCAGAACTTGGTGATACGACCCCATTGCTGGAGAAGCCACACACACTGGTCACGGGACAAGGAAACATCAACTCTATAATCACACCCAGCCATGAATCCTGTGAATTATAATAATGACCCATATGACAAGATATGACCATGGGTGTAATAGTGGCATGAATGTTATGGGGGTAACCAACAGCTTTCTGATTGGGTTTAAGGCCTGCTCCACAGAAGGAAACATAGAGCTGGTACTGCAAATTTGGCTAAGAACCCATGGTTGCAGAGCTCACAAGGCCTAGGGGTGAACCTGCTACTATTATATTGCTAAATGGACAGAGTACCAAATTGACCTCCAAATTCCTATCTCTCTATCAACAGATTAATGTAACTCTCAGATCTTGTTACAGAAGTTTCTTTGTGCAGTTCTCTCTATCCTCTCTCTCTCTCTGTCTCTCTCTCTCTCTCGCTCTCGCTCTCTCTCTCTCTCTCTCTCTCTCTCTCTCTCAGCTTGGGGACTGTCACAGATGAGGGGATGGAAAAATAGTAAGAGCCAGAGGTCAGGAAGGACCAGAGCAAAGCAGTGTCTTCTGGACATAATATGACCATCATACTCATGAATTCACATCAGCTGTAGTTGCCTGCACAGGATCTGCACAAGATCAAGCAGTCGACATTCTAGCATGGAGAAGGGGTTCATGAGCCCCCACCTGTAACCAAGGAGCTATGAACAGTTGATGGCTTCTGGGACAGAGTCAGTTTTCATTCAGGGTATGGTTATAAGTGGTTGACCCCCACATCCAAAAGTTTATGGACAGCACAAACTGGAGCTGATGGGTTATCAGATAAAAAACAAGGAACGTTAACACTTCAATTAAGACTCTCTTATTCTATCAATGCTATAAATATACAATGCCTACAAGGTGTGCCAGGTGAGCATGAAGCCTACAGCAAATGTCCAGGAAGGACTGAAGCCACAAAGAACATTCTTCCAGGTGGAAGCAGGAAAGAGGGTACCACTCTATGAGTCTACCCACCACTGGGCTATGTCACTGAGAAAAATACAGGTGGAAGAGAGTTGGTTGTCAGCAAGTACGTAAAAGCCAAGATAAGAGACCTCTTACAGCTCTGCTCAGGATCCCTGAGTACCTCAAGGTTCATTCCTCCCCAGATAGCTGTATTTCGTCTGGTTTCTTCCCACCTGCCACATTCCAGCCAGCCTCACCAGCTCCAAAAGCCTTCCGTGAGCAAGAAATACAAGATTCTAGGTAAGCATCTCAACTACCTCGAAATGGGGCAGGGCACCCCACCATCTGCTAATCAAGCAGGTCCAATCTCCAGTGATAAGGGCAAAGTGAACATGCCATGATATTCTAGAAACATCTCAAAGGCAGCTGCCTTAACATCTTACCTTTCAGAGTGGGAAGTGGACTGTCTGGTCCATCAAGTTGTCCCAAATGGTCACTTGGATCAGGATCTTCCACTTCACCTGGGAAGAAAACACACACATGTGACATGGTTTCCACTGGAGCAAAAACAGCTGTGCCAGCAAAACTTCCTAGGGTCTAGAAAACACAGACAGAGAAGAGGAGACAGGACTCCATGAGCAAACCTGCCCAGCGTCCAGAGAACACAGATGGCAACTGCTATCTAGCTTTTTAGACTCAGACTTGATACCATTATAAAAGTGGTTTTAGTTTAGTTTAAGCCAAGAGCGCCAAAGACTAATAAATGGAAGTTGTGAACAAAGCTCTCTGGGACAGCAGGGAGGAAAGGAATAGAAGAGGGATTAGGAGAAAGTGAGAGATAGGAATTTGAAAGGCCGCAGTCAAAACGACGGACTGAGGCCAAAGCACAACTGTCTATCCCACAGACAATGGGAAACTGGGTGGTGGGAGCAACTACTCACAACACCTGAACACTAAGGGCAAGCATGGACTCTGTTTGTTTGGACTCAACACTTATCTCCAAATACATAGCAAGGGGCCCACTGTCCCTCAGTCTAGAGGAGGATCGGATGCACCACTGATGCAGGAAGCCACAGGAAGCTCTCAAACAGCCCCTCACTTCCCACCCACCCCCAATCCATTACATTTCCTCCCAGCCTTTGCCTGGAACCTAGGATTCCACTGGCTAGGGGTGAAAAATCATGACTAAAACATCAAAGCCTACCACAGAGTGGCCAACACACCAGTCTAAACAGAAACTGAGATATGCTACAGCATGGTGACCCTCAGGGACACTGCGGTGAGCGAAACAGGCACAAAAGGACAAACGCTGTGTGATTACATTTATTGGAGGTCATGGAGACAGGGAAGAATGATGGGTGTCAGGAGCTGGGAGCCAGAAATGGGGAGCTGGTGTTTAGTGGGGACACAAGTGTCAGTTTAAGAAGAGGACGATCTTTTGATATTTATACAACACTGTGATGTAGTTAGTGCTACTTCATTGTACACCAAAGAATTGTTCAAATGGTAAAACTACCTTATATATACTGACCACAATTTAAAACAGCCCGTCCAAGTCTACAGTTCAATACTGGGTGACTTTTCTTGATTAACATATGAGGGCCAAGAAATACTACAGTAGCTGACACTTCAGACACTCTTAGGCTTGCCTGGAAAAGCAAAGATCTAGCTGTGGTTCTGAAGAAAAGTCATGCAGACAAGGTTCCTCAGCTTTCTGGCTAAGTAAATGCTGGCGCACTTAAGCTTGACAGCAAGAGTCTCTAAGCTGGTCCTCTCAGCTCTCCTTTTGAATGCTGGCCCCCACAGCACAGGGCTCCCAAAGTCCACATGAAACTGGAGTGTCCTCAATCTCCACCTCCTCTCTACCTGCACGGCAGGTGTCTGACCACTGTCTAACCGGCTTCATTTTCCAATTCTGTCTTCTCATCACTCCTGGCTCAAACTCATCCCTGCCATCTTTCATTAAACATTAAACAGCCCACTGTTGGAAATTATGACTGCATTCTTTAACTTCCCCTAAACTCTAACGTGACCTAGGGTAATCAATCATTTCCCTAGGTCAGTAGCCACGGGCACTCTGAACTCATGAAAGTTAGAAAGCAGCAGGCACTGAGGTAGAGGAGGGTCAACAGTGCTGCCATTAAAACCAAGATGGAGGGCTAGGGAGCTAGGTCCTTGTGCAAGCACTTTAGCTACTAAGCTGAGTTCAATTCCCAGAATCCACAAAAAAAGTCATATTGAAGCACTTGTAACCCCAGTGGCAGGGATATAGAGACAGGAGGATCCCCAACGATTGTTGGCCAGCTAGCCTGGCATGTTTAGGGAGTTCCAGGACAGTGAAAGATCCTGTCATAAAAAGCAAAGTGTGGGGAGCGGGAGAGATGGCTCAGCTGTTAAGAGCACTGGCTGCTCTTGTGGAGGATCGAGGTTTGACTCACAGCACCCAAGTGGCAGCTAACAACTTTAGTTCCAAGGGATCCAACACCCTCTTCTGAGCTCTGTGGGCATTGCACAGCACAGATGCCCTTACACACATGCAGCTAAGTGGATGGCACCTAAGAAATAACGGCTAAACTTTGTTCTCTGGCCTCTATGTACTTTCATACACACACAAACATGCACGCACACACCAATTTCAAAGGAAAACTAAAGCTACGTAAGGCACTTGACAATATCTGCCAAAACTACACTTCAGTTTCAAGTTAAAAATTGGAACGTTCTGCAAGAGGCCACAAATCAGATTAAATGTAACTACCACATTAAATTAAACACACCCTTGACACACATATAATAAAAAGGCATAAAAGTTATTACATGCTTAGAAATTGACAAATGGTGTGAAACAGTGAAATAAATATCTACCCTGAAGCAAAATAAACTCTGGCACCCAGCTCCACCCCAGGTTCCTCTCGGTCAGCTTTGGATAGAGGAGCAGAGGCGTGTTCCTGAGTGTAAGTCACCTGCAGAGGTGGTAGAGGTGACCTGCTTCTTTTTATCCCCTGCGTGTGCAAGGTGACTGCTGACACTCAACACTAGTATCTCTGGAAGTGTGTTTTGCCTCAGTATGTACACCGGGGTTCATTTATGTTTCTTTTGGCCTCATGTGCTCCCCTAAATAAAAAGAAATGGGGACATCGAAGGAAACCGGAGGGTCAGCTACAAACATGGAAAACAGAGAAAGGGTCCCAGGGTGCTGATACAGACCGCAGGAGCTTGGGACTCAGATGTCAGAGGCTTCAGAAGCCGAGTGTTTCCTCTGCAGTCACATGCAGGTAGTATTTCTGGATAGCCAATCCCCAGGGTCCCCACAATTGACAGTACTGGACTCTGCTATTATTTTCTAATGGAAAAATTGGGGCATCGCTTGCATTTTGAAATTTAAAAGCCACATCGAGTTCAGGCCCACAGTGATGTCCTCACTCAAGGTACTATGGCCTCCTGAAATCGATAAGCAAAATGGGATTGGGAGGAACATGAACTAGAGAATGAAGAGAAGTGAGATTGGAGCCCAAGAGGGTCCCTCCTGGCGTTATTAGAAAGATTAAGAATAATATACAGGAAACAACAGATGTATACAAGCAACATCAATAGCCCCCAATACCAAAACTAGTACTGACTTATCTGGTATTGTTGCTAATTTAAATACTTTCTATTTTGTAAGTATCTCTACAAGGAGCACACATCATTTTTTAAATCATGATATATGCCATAGACAATAAAATTTGAAGTATTTTACATTTTAATGTATATAATTTAGTAGCATTTATAATATTTTAAAGTTATGCACTATCGAATTCCAAAACATCTCATCACCCCTTAAAGACACCTTGTTCCCATTAACAGTTGCCCTTATCCTGCCTGCTTCTGACCCTGGTAACCACTAGACTCCTCTACACAGTTCCCTGTACTGGACACTGAATACAAGCACAGTCATAGACCACGGCCTGTAGAAGTAAAATGGAAAAGAATAAAGAGAAGACATCTGAATAGAGGTCTGTAGCCCTACATGGTTGAGGAAAAGAGGGCACACAGTGGCTCTATTGGTGTGAGTCAGAAATCTGTCCACGCTGACTACATGAGAGGGATGAGACATATGTGCTAGACTCCAGACAGATCCAGCTAGACAAATGAGCTGCCATGTTTCCAGAGTGACCAAAATGACAGATACAAAGATGGGTCAGGCAGGGAATAGACAGGTCCCTGTGGTAGACAGCCCAGGCACAGCCACACTCCTGCTGCTGAAGAGACAGGGAACTGTTGGGCCAGGGAGGATGAAGGAAGGATGTTGTTGGGCCTCCCCAGCAGTTTCAATTTCAAAGATACATATCACCTATGCCTCCTCAGCCCAGTGACATAAGAGGCACTTAAGAGACAGTCTCTTCTCCTGGTCCACAAGTTTCCTATCAACTCTCACCACCATGATCTACTTTGGCCATGATTACTAGGCCAGTTTTGCTGGTGAACGGTCATGGTTCCTGTGCCCAATAACAATTCCCATGTGCCCATGCACAGTATAAGAGCCCCCCTTGTTTTCTGTTTTGGTTTCTACAGTTTGAGTCACCCATAGTCAACTAGATACAAAAACATTACAGGAGGGGCTAGAGAGATGATTCAGCAGTTAAGAGCACCGGATGCTCTTGCAGAGGACCTGGATTCAGTTCCTAGCACCCATAAGTTGTCTATCTTTGTATCCTATGACCTGTGGAGGATGTTACTGTTAAGAAACAGCCCAATGCTCCATCACAATGCCTTCCTCATTCCCTCATTGCATCTCACCATTAGACACTGTACTATCTCATATCAGCACCAGAGGGAGGGTGAGTGTGGTACAGGAAGAGAACATGAGAGAGAGGAGAACCTTCCCATCTCCTGCAGTTAATGCTATAGATTCCATTTTATTATCAGTTATTGCAATTACCTCTTAACTTATAAACTGAACTTTATCCCAGGTATGTATGCTTTAGAATAAACACACTCTGTGGAGGGTCTGGTGCCATATATGGTTTTGTGCATTCCCTGGGATCTTGGAACACATCCTCAGATAGGGGTGGAGGGAATGTGACTGCAATTCTTTAACATCAAAAGTCTTTTGGGCTTCTGTGGTACAAAGACTCTCTCTTCCCTCAGCCAGCTGACTAGGTTATGAAGCATCATGGCCTGTGCCCGTGGTACTTGAGTGGATAAAGTGGAAAAATGGGTACTAGTGTGACACAATGCCAAGCAAAAGCAACTTCAGGAAGGAGGGTTAACATTCAAGATGGTGAGAGATGAATACTGGTGCTCAGCTTCTTTTTATTTAGTCCAGAAACCCAGCCCCTGGGGTGGTCCACCCTTATGCAAGGTGTAGCCTCACATTTCAGTTAACCCAGCCTAGAAGCTCCCTCACAGACAGACTCAGAGGCTTGTTTCCTAGGTGATTCTAGGTCCAGTCAAGTTGATGATCAATATTCACCATCACAGGTGGTAAGGCTATGGAGGTGATGCCCACGGACAGAATAGAAAAGATGAGCACAGTCTCTTC